TTTTTTTTTTCTTTTTTTCCAATTCAACTTATTTTCTTATAATTCTAAACCAGTACTTGAAAAGACCTAAAAGGAGATAGAAAACAAATTTAATGATGGCAAGCCGCCTGAAGCTCATGAGATCAACGAAGACGACAACAACAGCAATTCATGTCAGGTTTTGTCACGTGAGTGCATGATGTCGCCTTCAAAACCAAAACAGAAAGATCATGCATAAAATCTGGCTCGTGTTGCAGGCCATTCCGTTTCCTTTGACATAAGTGGGAAAAAAGCAACTGCCATCCAATAGGGAATTTCTTACTGAAGGGCAATCTTCAGACAGTAAGTTTGGTTCCCTAGTAGTTGTTTATTTCGGCGAAGATGTGAAAAAATTTCATTGCCAATAACCCAAAATCATCAAAGAGCGAAAATAACTGCAGCAAAGAAAAAAGACTTTAAAATTTTAGAATTTGAAGGCAGGTAAATCAGGCTAGGTAGGTAGATCTTTAGGACTGCAGATACTATGCTTTAAGTTTTCACAGTCACTGTATTCTTCATTAGCTGTACGTAGTTGCCAACGAACTTAGTTTTTTCAAATACATAACCCCACCCGCTATGCTGATAAACATCATCGCTATTCCAGTTAAAAAACAAAGTCAAGTCCTGGATCCGACTGCTCAAAGTCCTAGCGCCCCCGCATCAACGTTGGTTCTAAAATAAGAGTGGTGCTGAATTTTTCTGACCCACGTACACCCTCGCATATTTCATCACACCTTTTTTCTGATAATTCTAAATCAGTCACTTAAAAACCCCTAAAAGGAAATAAAATACAAATTTAATGATGGCAGACCGCCTAAAGTTCATGAAATCCACAACGACAACAACAACAATTTATGTCAGGTTTCTTACGAGAGTGCATGATTTTACCTGCAACTTAGCAGAAGAAACAAAAAGCATAAAATCTGGCCAGTTTTGCCACGTTCAACCAGTGCGCTTTTCGCGCCATTGATATCGTTATTATCCGGGAATTCGATCGTTTTGCGCATAACCCGAACGGAAACGGCAAAGAATAACACAACGGCAGTAGCTTTTGCCAACATTTTCATGGCAAAAATTAAAATAGGGTATCGTCACCGATTTTTTTTTTAAGCTTTACTTTCGCTGCTGGTGCATTCCAAAATAGGCGAACTTTAAGGCCTTACGGTCGTTATATAAGAGCTTCGATCACGCTAGAGGCAAGCTATGGACTATGAAGCCGGTACATCTACTGCTGAGACACTGAATGTACAAGCTCATGAATTCCAAAATAGGCGAGCTTTAAGGCCTTATGTCTTTACATAAGAGCTTCGATTACGCCAGAGGCAAGTGAAGGCTATAGACTATGAAGTAAACTACTGCTAAGACACTGAATGTACAAAACATGAAACACTCTCTTCTTCCGGTGTTTCCAGTTTGGAGATTTGGAGATCTGGAGAAGATAAAAATCATTTCGCAATTTCCTCGACGTAAGGTGAGTAATTTCCTGTTTTTCGGGCGTGTTCAGCGACCTCTGACGCCTATAACTGTAACACAATCCGTGAAAACTTGCTGATTACAAATGTTTCGGTTCACGTCACGTTCCGTTTCGATAAGGAAACTCCCCATGATGACCTGCACATATAACTAACGAACTGACCATTCTCTAAATCACTTCCTTGTCACAGCGAGTGCGCAAAGTTGTAGACCAAGCTAAGCCACGGCTTTTTAGGACACTTCAAGGTAGGATAACAAGGTAAGAAGGTAGAATAATGAATGAGAAAAAAAGCGACAGTACGAAAAAAGGAATCTTATACGTTCCTAAAATTGAATCGAATGACCTTTGAGTGTTACATAGGAACAAAAGCTGGCTTTGAGAGGTGGTAACAATATTGATCAGCAGATAAATTAATTTTATTAACAGTGGCCTGTCCAGCTGAGGTAAAGAAACGATTAAACTCGTTATCTTTTGTCTTATCATCCCTGGTAAACGACCTCTGACCGGTAGACTTCTTAGGAATGAATGATCGAATCGTATTGTATAGGCAGCTAGGTTTTTTGGGATTTCTCTTGACTTGATCCGCTATGGACCGTCGCGTTCTGCCTGTCTAATTTCCCTCTTAACTTCGCGTTTAAGATTTCTGTATTCGATTTAAACGTCTGGATGGTTGGTTCTTCTTCTTGCTAACTTCCGCTAAAAGGCCCTTTAGTTTTTTAAAGTTCTTTGAACTCGTCCGTAATATACAGGTTTGGTCGGCCCCGTAATTTGATGGTTTTTTTTAGGTGCTTGATCATCCAGGAATTATATGAATAAAAAAGATTGAAGGCATGAAGGCTATCTTCGATGTCGTCAAAACAGTCGACGGCAAGGCTAAGGGACTTAAGAAATATCTTGAAGAAAAGCCTCATGTCAATAATTCTTCAGAAACTCTTACTAGTAATATATAACAGCTTAAGACTTTGTCACCGAAGTTTAAGCAAAGCAAAAATACACACACTGGAATGACTTAAGTGAGTTATTTTCTAGTGATTTGTGGCTAATTTTGTAATACGTCAAGACGATTACGCGACTGCAATTATTGAGATATTAAGGAGGACAAAATGTTTTAAAACTTCCTAGTCATAAATGATACCTTATTATTGAATCTAGCTTAGGAACGTCAAAAAAATAAGACTGTTCACACGCAAAACAATTTAATCGAAATTTTCAATCCACTGAACGCAATGAAGTTGAAAAGATTTTAGTTTCCATGACACTTACCTAAGTCAAATTCTCGTGCGAACCTTGTTTCACTATTTTCATTCGGATAGATATAAAAGGCGGATTGCTGTTTTCTTGTAGTTAACAAAGGAACGGTACAAATGGCTTTCGTTTCGTTGACTTTGTAGCCTTTTGCTGTACCAACATCGCCAAATTCGCACCGCAACTCAATTCCCGGCCAATAACATAATCCAGTGATGAGGATATTGGAGCCACTGTTTAGCTTTCCACCGGCCGAATGAATGGAGACAGTGCCTTGAACGTTAACAAGAATTGTGAAAGGAAGTACTTTTTCCAAGAATATATATATCTTATTAGACGTTTTGTTGTGTAGTATCGCTGAGTATTTTTACGAGTTGTGCCGTATTTTGACGAGCCCGTAGGGCGAGTCAAAATATAAATAACGAGTAAAAATACTCAGCAATACTACACAACAAAACGTCTAGTAAGTTATTTATTATCCAAGACGAATTTTTAAGGGTTTGGTTTAAGCAATTATTCGATAATTAATTTTACATTACCGTCTGTATGAAATCGACAGTTACACGAACAGATACTCAGCTGAGAATATCAAAGATAATTAACGAAAGTGGTAAAAGTCAGCGGCCTTAAAATAACACTTGACGCCCTGAAATTTCTAGCGATCATTTCTATGAAAGCAAAGGGAAGTTTCCTAGTCTTATACTTCTGAGGAGGAAGAGTGATGAATTTTCCGCAGGTGGTTTTGGTCGGCCGAGCATTTTACAACATTTCCACCAATTTCAGTGTAATGCGTCTTTGGCTTCACTCTGAAATCTTGAAAATAAAATCATAAAGGATAAAGGGCCGATGAAATTTATGCGGCGATGTAGCAATTCTTAGATGCGCTTTGAAAGCTTTGCACGAAATCGAAAAAAAAATTATTAAATTTCCTGTTTGCGGCCCACACATGTCTGCGGCCATTGTCTTTTCGCCATGCCGCTGAGTCGATACAAGTTATAACATCGAGTACTGAGAAAACAGCAGTACTGAGAAAACAGCAATGCCTAGCTCCGACTGTTCGAAGGTCGCATAACGCTATCCACTGGATGAATCTCAATCCGGTGGATAATGCTATGCGTTAATCGGACCCTATCAAAGGTTTAGCACATCATCCAAAATAACTTTGAGTATGGACTAAGAGCTTAAAATTTTCCACGTGTCACCATAAGGTCGTAAGTTTTTTTATTCATGTAATTATAGGTGGTGAATCGCCTCTCTGCATGGCCTGAAACTATAATCAGAATTTATATTTCGCAATCATGAAAAAAAATTGATTTCAGTAGCGCTTTGGCGTTCTTTTGGAAAAAGAACCCTTGTCTGATTTTATAATCAGTGTCATCGGGAAGACAGCACTGTTGGAAACTGTACGTTACATTTATTAAGTGATTTCCTTTATCTATTACATAACCAAACCGCATGTATGCAGCACGTGTCTTATCGCCCCATATATGGTGCTGTTCCACGTGCTTACAAGGAGACGTGATGTATTTTTTCGTGAGAGTTGTGAGAGGGAGTTAATTGGAGTGTAATAGCAACATCGAACCAAGAAAATAAATCGTGAGTACGCTAGCTTTTGCACCACAGTTAATTGGAGTGTAATAGCAACATCGAACCAAGAAAAGAAATCGTGAGTACGCTAGCTTTTGCACGTTTTCTACAGCACTTACCGGTAGGTTGCGTTTCCTGATCGTTTGTGTTTTGGTTGAGATGTGGTGAAGTATCGCTGCTAGTATAATGGCGCCAATTCGTTTACTGCATCAAAATAGAAGTAATGAACGCATGTAAAATCAGTTTCTATGAAAGATCAAATGTCGACAGTCTTTGTGAAAGTCATAGAGCTATTTAGAAACTTTCTGCTGTATGTTTTGACTTCACTGTTATCCTTCTTGTAATTCATACGTTTGAATAAATTATTGACATTGTCAACAAATGCGCGTTTTATTTTTCCCCAAGTTGAGTTCGTTTTTTTACAATTAAACTTCCTGGTAGAAATTAATCTGTTTTCTTTTCGTTGAGATAAATCTTTCTTTGAGAACGATTTGACATCCTAAGAGATCTTGCCTTCTCAAATAACACTTTGTGGTCTAACAACAACAAACATA